CCCCCTGTGGCTGATTTAACACTACAAATTTTAGAAAATTTTGTTTTATCTAATCTTCGTTCCACCTCACCTTTATTATAGATATGTTGATGACGTCGTTTTGTTGTGCCTTGACGATCTCAGATTGTAGACACATTAGATCTTTTAATTCTTTAACAAACATTTGCAGTTCACCTGTGAGATTGAGTCGGATGACTCTATTAGTTTTTTAGACTTAAGAATCACTAAAAATAAGTAAACAATTCTGTCCTGACTGATTGGTATCAGAACCAACGTGGTCAGGAAGATATTTAAATATTTGTCCTTTCATTCGCGTTCCATTAAAATTTCTGTCATATCTCTCTTATAGACAGGGGCTATTTTACTAAGTAACAGTATGTTTGGGAAAAAAATTTGACTCTTATTCGTTCCGTTCTCAAAGACAATAGTTACCCTTCGCACTTGGTCAACAACATCATTATTAATAGATTAATTTATTTGCAAACTAATTCTAATAATTCATTTTCACCTTCTTGTTCAAATTCAATAGCTTCCTCTTCCGCCGCCAATACAAAGGAACTATCTGTTTACCTTTTTTAAGTAATTTTTCGTATTTTTAAAAAAGTTATTTTCTTCAGAAGGATTCCGATTAGTTTAGTTTTGATAATACGTTTAATTGCCTTTTTTCGGTTCTTAAGTCTAGAAACCCGTCTGATAGGGTCACCGATTCTGTTTACAGGTTGGATTGCAATGATTGCAACTGTGTTATATTGGAGAAAGTTCCCAGTATTTATAGAGAGTCAATCAACATATTTATAATTCAAAAAATCCAAACCAATTCAAAACGATGTTTTCAGATCATATGCTCAATTTCAATCACACTTTTAACACCTCCCATCCGGTTATCCTTTATATCGAAAAAAAATAGTGACCTTAGAAAATTTGCTGAACCTTTTTATTTCATTAAATCCTCCTCTTGTGTTAATAAACGCAATTCATCCCACCTTTTACATGATAGTTATCAGATTGTTATTGATTTTATTAAAAAAACAAAAAATTAATTTGCTTATCTCTTTTTATTATTTTTTACAATATTGTTTTTTCTTTTCTAACGTTACATGGTTTTCTTTTTCCTTTTGTTCAATTCCAGTGCAAGCACTGTTTGTTCGTTGCGTTCGTGCTTCGAGAATTTGTCCTTGATGCGTCCCTCCCATTCCTATCAATACGCCTCAGTCGATTCTGGATGTCGGTATGGGCGTGTTCTCGTCTCACAATTATGTATTTTATAACTTTTAGTCAAATTAGTTTCAAATCTTTTAGTTATTCATAACTTTTTCTAAAAAAATGTTTTTTCTAATATGTTATTAAGTTTAATTTTTTAAAATAAATTTTTGTTGAGTGTTTTTGTCCTGTGGTGTGTATAATGTTTCTCTATGCTACAATTAATCTATATTGTTGTTTATATTAGTAATAAAATTTTTCAAATTTTTGTAGTTGCTGAATGATGACACGCATCTTGTGTCGAAACGTATAAATAAAAGTTTTTACACTTTATACCTTTTTTATTTCGACGAATGGGCTGCTAGTTACTTTGAAATATATATTTATATATATATATATATTTATATATATACACCTAAGTCTGTTTTTACACGGAGATTGGTTCCAGAAAAAACCGTGTACAAAAAAAAACGTGTAAAAAAAGACATTGATCTTATACAAAAATGGGTGATTTGTTCCTAATCTCCAAAACCTATTAAAATTAGTGAAAAACAAGAATTTTTAGGGTATTCCCCTAAATTAGTGCTTTCACATTTGCTTTGACCAGTAAAAATTGTTTGTACGCGCTAAAGGGGAATTCACTTAAATCTTTAAGCTAGTGTTCGCGCAAACTATCGATACTATCGATGGTTTCAGACTTTTTTCTTTCATAAATACTTTTTTGTGATATGAACATACTTCGCAAAAATTAAATTTGACAAAAAAAATTTAAGTACATAAAATTTCAAATCGTGCTAAATGGAATAAAATCGCGTAAAAAATTAAAAATCTTCAATTTTCAAACTGTGTTATATCAGAACCGTGTACAAAAAGACCGTGTAAAAACAGCCTTAGGTGTATATATATATATATATATATATATATATATATATATATCATTCAAAATTTGCTGTGTGTGGGTGGTAAGAATCGGATTTCATGGCCGAAATTGAACTGGTAATGCTAGGCAAGGTTTGTATGATCAGAATTAGTTTTGTTCCGAGTAGATAAATTTAGAGATAAATGTTTCGAGTAGATAAATTTAGTAGATTATTGAGGATTACTTGGTAATTATCACAAAGTAACGAGGTATCCTTCTTTTGTTTATAGCGTATTTGTCTATTGTGACAAAACAAGATTCTGCAAAACGTCTTTGAATGGTGTTCCGTTCGTGGTAGAGAATACGGGCATTATAAAAATTGAAGGAGTGTTTGAAATTTTTTAAATGACCTGTTATCATATTATCTGTTATCACATGTTTGGTTTTGGTTGGGGTTTTTCGGATTATTGTCGGGTTGTTCGAGTCTTTTTATCAAAGTCCGGTGTCACCCACGTACGTGGAGAAGCATTCATTGCAATTTATTTTGTAAACAGTATTGGACGTACGTTCTATACTGGTGGGTGATTTTAGGTTTGTATAAAGGGAATTTAGAGTTAGATATATGTTACAAGTTAACCTGATCTCTACCTTATGAAAAAGGTTTCTCTACACTGGGGAGAGTTCTTTTATATATGGAGAGTTTTTATTGTTGAGAATTTGGAGTCTATTGGTAGTGGCGGATTTTATGAGATGAGAAGGATATGAATTGTTGATTAAAGTCATGCTAATTAGGGATAAATTGGAAGGCCAAAATAATTGCTTATCTGAGAGGTCGACTAAATTGATAATAGTGCCGATCTTCATACTTGAGGGGTAGTAAGAATGAAAGTTTAAATACCTGCCCGACCAAGTAGGTTTTTGGTACCGATTAGTAATAATACGATTGTCTATAGTTTTTATAATTTTCACGTCTAGAAAGCTAATAGAATTGTCTTGTTCGCTTTCGGAGGTAAAGGAAAGGTGCACGTTAAACGACTTAAAACTGTGAAGTAAATGTTCAAAATTTCCTGGTAGGAACGCAAGTGAGAATGCCATCAACGTATCGGTAATAAAAATGAGGATCTAAATTGTAGGAGTTGAAAACTTTCGTCTCTAAATGTTGTAAGGAAAGTTCCGCGAGTGCTGAAGATATGCAAGAGCCCATAAGTGTGCTAAATATTTGAAGCTAAAAATGCTCGTTGAATTCGAAATAAGTACTAGAAACTATAAATTGTATTGACTCGAGCGATACCGTTGTATGGCATGAGATTTCGTCCCATCTAGTAGTGATAGTATTGTAAGGGAACGTTGGTGAATAAGGAAACTACTTCAAGGCTAACTAATAAGGAATTATTAGGTATTGTGGAATCGCGGAGATTATTGACCAATTCAAAGGAGTTGGTTACGAAAAAAAAGGAGACTTCACAATAATTACCTGGTTATATTAATTTTTACACTGTTTTTAGATCCACCGATGATGACATTAAATTGAATGTTGAAATGTTTGGAATTAGAGATTAATTTATAGGTAAATCTTAGTTTTTTTTCTTTGACCGGCCTACAAGAATTTACTCATATATCTCAGCATCAAAAATAACCATTAAATCATATATATATATATATATATATATATATATATATATATATATATATATATATATATATATATATATGTATAGACTTGTTTTTTTGTTACCAATGCGAATATTAGCGCCAAAAATTGCTGTCAGACAATTTTATGAATATCTAGGTGTTAAATTGAACAAAAATAAATGCAGTTTTCTATTTTCCATGCGGTAAATCCCTGCACGTAACCGGTATATAACCAGCAAACAAATATTTAGTATTATATTATTACTTCTACATAATTTTACTTATAGATTTGTGTAGAAGTAACAATATGCTAATCAAAATATCTGACAAAATTATTAATTTTCGAAATGGAAATAGTAGGAGAATGTGAAATATTATTATTTGGTGTAAAACATTATTAAATGTTTTGTTCGTATTTGATACATAAAGTTCTCAAATTATTTTCATGTAAATATAAAAAATAATCAAAGAATTTTATTTATTCTCTTCGAAAATAATTATAAAATTGTTTTTGATTTCCATGCTTTCGGTTTTTACTTTCGTCACACTGTAAAAAACATGAGCTATGATTCGATCGCCCGGCCGACTAAAATGTTTAAAAATCCAACATCTAGTTGTAATTTTTTTTTAAATAATTATTCTACTGACATTTATTCATAAACTGTCTGGTCTGCAAAAGAATTATCCTGATATTTTATGGTCTCTATTTCGGCATTAAATAATTTTTTGTAATAATATGAACAAAAATGTTTGAACTGTTTCAAAACGAATTTCAAGTGCTTAATAAATCATTAGATATATGACGCACTATAGAACACAGTTGTGTCGAGTATTCTCCTCTCCGAAGAGGAAATCTTAAGCAATCCGACTTCAGATATAATAGGTCAACTCTTATTTATACAGTAAAACCTCGATTATCCGGACCTCGGTTATACGGATTCGCGATTATCCGGACTATCAACCGCGACCAATTTATATGTATTTACATACCTATAATTCGAACTTTTGCACGATTAATGCTGCAGTTTAGTATATGTATGTAATGTAATCTAAGAAAATGTATATGTACAGTACATAAGGAAGTTTCAATTTCTGAATAAACATTATTTTTGTTGATATCTATGTATGCGTTTGTTATTTTTAATAAATACACATCATTCTTCATACATTCGATTATCTGGATGCCTACCGACAACAATTAGTCTGGTTAATCAAGGTTCTACTGTATGCGTATACACACACACACACACACACATATTATATATATATATATATATATATATATATATATATCATATAATTTATTATATAGACCTATTTAATAAATAATATTTTAATACATCAACTATAGTCGAGTAATTGTAAAAAAGAAACATTTGTGAATATTTCTTGTGAAACATCATTATCTATAATATAGAATGTTGCACATATTGTACTATGCTATTTCCCAAATATTGGAAATATCCATTGAAAACAGAGGGCATAGCTGTTACATTGTCCCCTTACCACACTGCTGCTGTAAGTTTTTCGTTATAATGTTTATAACACTAGCGCTACACTTATAAAAATAATTATTATTCTTAAAAAATAGATATACTAAAGCACCAACATTGAAATAACATTAACCACATTTTCAGTTCAAAATTGGTTTTATAGCATATCACTTCAATATTTCTTCATGCATTTTTATAGCAATTGCAAGAAGTATATGTTAGTTATACTTCATACTTGTTTACAGTTCTAGTTATATATATTCTTCATACTGAAAACAAGTCAAGATAGGATAGACAGTTAATTGTAAACTTTTTTTAAAATTTAATAATCGGATATATGCTTAAAAACTTCATTACATATCCTTCACCATCAGAAAAACAATTATATATTAACAATATATTGTATATCATATGAACTTGTAAGTAGCAACTTTTAATGATGGAATACTTGATTTTTGAAATTCAATTCTTATCAACATCAAATTTCAGATTTTACACACACACACACACACACAGATATATATATATATATATATATATATATATATATATCCTTATTTAAGATTAGTTATATGCAAGTATAGATGTATGCATATATGCATGAGGGTGGTTCTTAATATCTTTGCCCCCAGTGGCTTAAATGCTTACAAATTGATAACTGATTTATAGAATTCTGAAAAACGGATTTAATTTTTCCCGTGTTATTTCCATAAGAAACTTTAGTTGGAGTGTGGACTACCTTAAAGTTACTATTAAGAGCTAAAACTTTCAGACAATTTTCTTTATCAATTTGGAAACATTTGAGCCCCAGAGAGCAAAAAAAAAAGTTCAAATATCCATATTAAGGACCACCCTAAATTGTATATCAATAAAATCAAAATTTATTTAAAATTTTGTATACTATAATGTATATATTAGATAATTTTACCTATAATTCGTTCAGCTTCTAAACCCCTATCAAAGCCTTGTTTCCTGTCATCACTCGATTTCTTTTTAGCTCCTTTCTGATCAGTAGAATTCACCGAATTTGATTTGCGCTTTCTATTGTTCATTGCCATATCTTTGCTCACTTCCTTTTTAACTGCAGATGAAATTAAGGCATCTGATTCCATAATCAGAATTAGCAAGTCAATATAAAGAAACTATTTGTAACACTTGAGTTAAAATATAATAATTACCTGCTTCATTTTTTTTCCTCTGCTCTTCAAAGGCATTTATTAGGTCAGGACAGTCTAAATTTTCTTCAGGTTCCCAGGTGTTATCCTCCTCTCCATACCCTTTCCACATTAAGTAATATTCAACCTGTAACATAATAGTTAAATACCGCATATAATTAAATTCACGCAGGAAAGTTTATATATTAAAAAAGCAACGCGTGAATGAAATATGGCGGCAAAATTTGATACGTTGTAACTGTCAGGTTAAGCTTAATAAATCAACTTATTTGAAATTACCTTGCCATTTCGCTCGCGCCTGTCTAAAATCTTTTCTACAGAAAACACTTCGTCGCCTTCTGTAACACCCTCTTCGGCTTCTTTCTCCTTTCTGCTCATTTCGATATCAATAGGTTATGAAAATACTAAAAATATTTATTACATGAATTAAATTGTAGACGATTTGAGATATTTATTTCGTAAAAAGCAGAGTTAAATGTACGAGTATTTTTAATTTTAACCGTCTCAATACAAATAAGATAATATTGTTTCAGAAATCACACAAAACAATTGTTATTTGTTCGTTCGGCCATTAAACAGTACCTGAAAGCCGACTAGCAATGGCGTACACCTAACTTAAATAAAACGATAAAACGAATAATGCACAACGAATCAAAAACACTAAATAAAATAAACTACTTAAATCAATTGCACTATTTTATACACTAATTAAAATATGCTAAAACGAACTATATTCTGTAACTGCAGCTTGTAGAGATTGTCAATTTCAGCACAGGGAACTTTAGCAATGCCAAGATCGGACCACGCACGATCCGACTTGCGTCGTTAGCACATCTATTGGGTTACGGACGAGTTTGAAATTTAGCGGTTTGATTTGCGCGCTATTTTTAAAAATTACATATTTGGTTCATATGACAGTTAATTTTTTTTATTTTTTGATTTGAACGTCTTGCTTTTAAAATAAATGAATGAGCTATTGTCATATTTATGGTATAACAACTAGATGAAACAAAAAAAAAAATACAAAACTAGTAGTGCTTGCATAGACCTACTAGTATGAGTGCATGGCATCGTGCCTTAAGGCAAAGTGCTTAAACTTTCTGTACCGGAAATTAAAATGTTTAAAAAACATTAATATTTTTTTTGAACAAATTATATTTTTGAGTTTCGACATTTTTGAATAAAGTTTGAAAAATTCTTTCTACATTTTGAAATGTTTTGAAAATTCTTCAAAGCAATCCCGCTAAGACGAGAGTGAAAAGATTTAAGCGCGAAAGCGCCGCGTTGCACTCAAACGGATAAACATTGGTACGGAACCCATAGAAATGTTAACAAAATTTGTTCTTATTCTTAAAATTTTTATAAAATATCTGATAATTTATGTGCATATGTCTAGTGGTCATTTTTGACCGCCTATTGGATCGCCGATACCGCTAGACCTGCCTTTCCATCAATTTTACCAGTTGTTTATTTTGTCAATACAAATAAAATGTTTTTTGAATCATGCAAATCGGACGGTTCCTTAGCTTTGAAACAGTATTACCATTTTTGTCACTTTTTGCCCCGTATCTTCGCAACGGGATGACCTGCCCTTGCCAAAACTAATCAGCATGTCTGCCAGTCAATACGAATCGAATGTGTTCTCGAAAACGTCGACGCAAAATTGTATCCGCACAAACACACATGCACACATACATCGATTTTTTCTATGGGCTATGGGAAATTAAAAATATAACCTATTTTTGCTATCTACATATTAGTTACGGTCTTTAAAATGATTTATATGTTTGCTATATTCAAATCGCATTTGTGAAATGTTTTAATTGGGTTTACAAATAAATCACTCAAAGGGCTATATTAGTATTTACTTCATAACTGTAGATAATTATTTGCTGGAATCCTAAAAATCCGCAATTTGTATATGTCAACTAAATGCTATGCCAACTAAATATAATTATCACTAGTTCCAATTAAAGTTTATTTTCTTGTAATAATTATTTATTAATTCATTTATTTTCAAATATAGACAAAATTATTCCGTAGGTTGGTAAAAGATATAGTTTAACCTCATATGGTTTGTAATATTATGCAACAATTTATGATAAATAAAAGATCAAATTGTGTATTAATTGTCATTCATACAATTTTGCTATAATAATAATACAATATGAAAAACTTTTAACACACACGAAAATATTCAATTTTTATGAGAAAATAGTAATGTTTAAAAAATGGTGTAAAAAAATACAATATATTGTATTCTGTAATTAAATGGGAAATTGTTTTAATTTCTACAGATCACATATCATTAGGCCTTTCCGAAAAGAGCAAAATACGATAAGCCAATTACAAATCATTCCTACTGTTACTAGCAGAACACTGGTGTCGGCTCGCAATCCATCGGTGAAAAGACTTAAGCAGCATGTGAGTAATTCGCAAATCATTACGACTAATTCGATCATTAGCCAAGGCATATACATCACCACATTATTCTGTAGAAAAAAAATAAAATAATTATAATCTAATTTTAAATTATATAAATCGAAATGATACAATAACAAACTTCAAAATTTTATTATATATATATATATATATATATATATATATATATATATTTATTTTATTTTATACATATTTCATACGCAAACTTGTTCGCCAGTTATTAAATTTTAGTATGGTGTTTAAGATCGAATATTATGCAAAAATAAGAAATCAAACCTAAATTGTAAAAACATTTAGAATAATTAACCCTTCCTCCACGGGCGTCGCCAATAGGCAACATTCACGTGAGTATATTAAATTATTGAGAATTCTAATTTGTAATACTAAAGAGGTGTAATTTTATTTAGATATAGTTTTTTGATGATTAAAAATCTTAGAATATGTGTTGTGCCTGGTCCGTTTATTAGCGTTACTGGGTGGTTCACTGTTCCGTACAGCAGTGTCACTTCTGTGGAAAACACTGTCTTAGCGAAATGGTTTAATTTGACGATTAAAACTAATTTAATTTTAATGATGGGCTTTTTTTGAATTGTTGAATAATAAACTTAAATAAATAAATAAAAATAATAAATAAGTCATCAGTTGTAGTAAATAATAATATAGTCATCAGTTGTAGTTAATTTCCAATCAGGAGGTACTTAAAATATCATATTGTAAAATTATGTTTATTATAAACTTTGTTTCTTGAAAAAATATAAAATTAAAAAAAAAGAAATTACTTCGAATATGACTCCATCTTTGTGTTTCAGGTTTTTTCTTTATTTTTCGGTAAAATAATTTACAAGATTACTTTAAGATTACAAATTATAAGGCTCGACATAGATTATTACATTCTATTTCAGTTTATAAAATGCTAAATCATATTTTGACAAAAGTACAAGTAACCTTTTTAAGTTCAATTATTGTAGAATTTAATATATTTTCAAGTGATATTCATAGCATGAAAATTCTAGAAAGTTGCAATCGGTTCGTATTGAATAATTGAACAATAAATCAATATTAACCACCCATGATACACCGCATTAAAACCAATCACTTTATTATAGAATCTATTTTGTTTTCAAAATATTTGTATATTATCTATGATTTCATGTGTTCAATAGGCTTTTATGATATTGCGACACTGCTACATATTAGCTTTTTAAATTGGATTACACATTATTGACCATGTTATTATAATGTTCGAACACTTTTTAGAGTCAACAATGTGTCACTTACGCTGTTTGTCGTGATGTGCAGCAAATTGCGATGAAAAGTAAGTAAAAAGTATTTGTTTATTTATACATAAATAGAGAAATTATTATTAACTTACTGTCACTACACCGATCACCATCAGCATATAATATTCAAGCATTACTACCGATGTCATCAGTTTTAAGTCGCGTTCCAATTCGGGGGCCAACACTGTTTGGTATTCCGTTCGATATCGCCAGAGATTCCTTGGCAGGGTAGGTCCTCCATTTAACAATCTCCGGATGTCCAAGAATGTTAAATACTTTAAAGGAATAATGTCAATTAGTAATAAGTTTTATGATAAAATTATATATATACATCTAAGTCTGTTTTTACACGGTCTTTTTGTACACGGTTTTGATATAACACGGTTTGAAAATTAAATATTTTTAAATTTTTTACACGAATTTATTCCATTTAGCACGATTTGAAATTTTATGTACCTAAATTTTTTTTGTCAAATTAAATTTTTGCAAAGTATGTTCATATCACAAAAAAGTATTTATGAAAGAAAAAAGTCTGAAACCATCGATAGTATCGATAGTTTGCAAACACTAGCTTAAAGATTTAAGTGAATTCCCCTTTATCGCGTACAAACAATTTTTACTGGTCAAAGCAAATGTGAATAGCACTAATTTAATTCTTGTTCTTAAAAATTCTTGTTTTTCACCAATTTTAATAGGTTTTAGAGATTAGGATCAAATCACGCATTTTTGTATAAGATCAATGTCTTTTTTTACACGTTTTTTTTTACACGGATTCTTCTGGAACCAATCTCCGTGTAAAAACAGACTTAGGTATATATATATATATATATATATATATATATATATATAATTTGAATTACTGTATGTCGCTAAGAAATTCTACATGAGCCTTGTCAGATATGACATACGCGACTACAAAATATTGAGAAAAAACAGTTTCACCATAGAGCCGCGCCAGTCATATGTTTGTGACATAAAATAGTTTCCAGAAATTTTGGTAAGCAAAACTCAATTATCAAATAGTGTTACCATGACCCATGTGAAAATTTTTCTGACATCATCGCGGCGATAAACGTGTTAATGAATATTCGGTGTTAATGATACTGTTTAATATGCTCGAGAACATTTGACGTTATTTCTGACAGTTACCATTTTAAAACTACATTTCAAAATTAAGAAAGATCAGTTGTTTTCATCAATAATGAATGAAAACAACGCATTTTAATAACATTGCCTGCTATCTATTGTTATATATTTACTAAAGAATAAGACGATAATTACTTACGAAGCCTAAAGTGCCAATACACATCACTGTCCATGATCCCCAGTTAAATGGTTGTAATGTACATAGTCTTCTGTAGAACTTATGATGCCGTTTGAAATGTGGTCCCCACAAATTTTTTAAAGGTGCCCTCATTGCTCCATTTGGCATGTCATGAAACGTTTCATGTATTGAGCATGGAAGACCAAGTGTTGGTCTCTATTGAAAGCATGTTACTAAAATTTTGAATTTTTAAGCGGCACGTACCAAACGTAGTGCCATTTTTTCAATTGTTTTGTCATTTATTATCAAACGTCATACGTGTTTGAATTCAGATGTATCTAGACGAGAGTGTATTGTTAATTAAAGCAGCTTTAATTTTGATTTAATTAATTCAATAAAACTTGAATTAATTTTTACAATTAATCCGCTTTTGAAATCGCATTTCTCTACCGTTTCACCGGCACCAAAACCACCAGCCTTCCAAGATTCATTAAAGTCCGAGACGAGCAACGGATGGGTTTTCCTCGTGAATGATCCTTCACATCATAAACAAAATCAATATCTTTTAAACATCCCATTGTTTTCAAAAGACACAGTTTTATTACTAATATTTTTCTATTTAAATATTTGCCTCAATTTAAATCCTTAATAACTTATAAAAGTTAGTGCTTTTTAATGAAGCAAAAACTACATTTCTTAGATTAAAGATACTAGATACTGGTACTTATATCTCAGCTTCTTTGAACCTAAATATTTTTTTACTTGCAATGATAGTTTGAAACAGAAACTAAGGGACCGATTCTGCCGCAATTTTATGAAAAGGTCATGTTATGAAGAATTTTCTATAGTAATATAGACAAAAGTTATGCGGTTGGTGTTCAGTCAGGCGAATTTCTCAGGTTTTCTGATGCAAAACATAACCTAAAAGCCGCACAAATGTCAAAAAAACGATGTTAGATAAGTGTGTGTTTCTGATACCACTAGATAACATACGAGTGACGTTGCAGTTTATGTATAAAACGCCGGAATGAACAGCAAATACATGATATTTTGACAGCATTCAGTATGATTCATTCGCATAATGTATGGAAGTCGGAGCGTAACATAGCTATGCCGTAACATTTCTCTGTTATGCGGCAGAATCGGTCCATAAGCTTGCTATGAGTAAATAAGAAAAAAAGGATTATTTTATTTGGCTATATATTTTTGGTCCAATTTATTTGATTTTTGAAAAAATAGTAGAATACTATTGATATTTTTTAGCATTATATAGAGAAAATAGAAATTATCCAGAAATTTTAACATGCGTAATAATTTACATCTTACTTTACATTTTACATAAAGTGTAAAAAATAAATATGTATATTTTACAAATAAGTAGAAATTATTTTTTATTAATTTTTAATCGATTATAAATCCATTGTTTTCAGTTCATTTGTTGTTAAAATCTAAGAAAAAGCTATAAGTGAAAAATACTACATAAATTACTTTCATATAAATGTGTAAACAGAGTGAACGAAATTATCAAAATAAAACCATTATTCCATATTCAATTATATATTTAATGTATAAGCTATATACTTAACACTTAAAATAAATACGAGCTTAAATAAAATAATACTGCAATAACAATAATTAATTGGTGATTGGCCTGGAAATCAGACAAGAATCAGTTTTTGTACTCGTTCGTAGGGTACTTTATAAATCGGAGGATTAAGCAAGTAGTCAGTCTTAATTAGTCAATCATTCACCCTTAAGGTGATAATTATGTGCATGTTGATTTTTTTACGAAAACCACATCCAGATATATGTCAGCAACACGTATTCTTATTACTCACAAAAAAAAATTCTGTTCCATTGTTACATAATTGAATGCGATGCTAAAGTATTAATTAATATTGTAATATTAAAAAAATAAGCAAAAATTATAATACGAAATCTATTGGGAATTATATTAAATTTTATGATACATTAGATTAATACTAATATTAATAATTTATGCGTAATACTTGCAAAATTTTAAATATTATCGAAAACGTGTTTTACAGAATTTAAAGTACAATTAAGCCACCAACGAAGAATTTTGAAATAAAATTCACAATTACAAAATATTGATACCGTTACAGACATTGGTACGTTTTCCGCGGCAAAATGTTTCTAGGGCGTGCGAAGTCATTTCTTCTGCGGTTCGAGAACCAACCCTAGCCGCAAAGAGCAGGTCCCAGGCGAATACGTGGCAGGGCTTTCGACTCGACAACAGTGCTCCGTCTCGAGCCAAAACAACTACAGAATCATTCGTAGCTTCGGGCATTGCCATAAGAGATAAAGCACAAGAAGGTGGTAATGTTGGCTCAGAAGACATAGCCACGGCTACAGTTGCAGTATGTAAAGAAGTATCAGATGAAGGTTCAATAGTTGTAGATCCCACGTTCGTAATCACTTCAGTTGAATTTGCCATTAAAGTTAAATTTCTCTGAGCATGAGTCTTAACTGCCTTTGCCTTAGTTGGCATTAACATGGGAAACGGCTTTGCTGTTGTTGTTCGGAATAGTTCTTCAGACGAAATGGTTACGTTTTCGGCCTTCCGATTTTTTGCTGAATGGGGATTAAGAATAAATATATTTCAAAATTAATCACATTCGTACAAAAAAGCATCATAATAAACATATTATTGCGAGATTTTACTGCAAATAATTTGTTATTTAGTAGATTGTATTAATAGATATCAATTGTCAGGTAATTCATGACCTTTAATACATGTTGAAGAATTTCATTTGCGAGTATATTTATGATTCTGATACTCTTTATAGTTTAATTTAGTAAATCTGCAAGTAATATACAAAGTCTAAAAACTTTCCGCACAAAACCAGTTTAAATTTCAAAATAAAATCGCACAAAACCAAATAGCATAAAAATGGATTGCACAAAAACATGTTTCAATGGACATGTATCACTATACACATGCACATATATAAAAACTGTGTTGAGGTCGGGAAGTTTTCAGACCACCATCATACTACTCTATTAAAGAATTGTTGAAACTACAAAAAAATGAGCATAATACAATCGACTTTAAAAATGATTTAATAAGAAGCGTAATTTAAACTAATGAATGGCATTGTGCCTTAGGGCATATTGCGGAAATTCTGAAAGAAGCATCAAATAGGTGAAATTAATCAAATAAAAGTATTAATTATTAAAATTAAATAATCAGAAAAACAAAAAAATTAATAAAATAATCAAAATTTATGGAACGCGTCTTTAAATGTATAGTTCAGATATTTGATTTTATATCACTATAAAATGTTAATGTATATGTGTTAATATATATATATATATATATATATATATATATATATATATATATATATATATACAGTACAGGCCAAAAGTTTCCGGACACATGAAAAATCTCATTTTCTGAGTTTTTAGCTATATTTTTCATATAAAAATAATTTTATTCAAGTTGGTTTTGTACATTCTACGTAGTATTAATATTTAGTGACTGATTTGTAACCAATTTGTGAGAAATGACGGACTAATTAGTAATGAAAATGTTAAAATGTCACAGTCGATTTTCCTGAATATGACCACCCTTTGCTTTGATCGCTGCAGCGCATATTTTTGGTAATCTTTTGACAAGTTTTTGCAATGTTTGCGCAGGTATGTTCTTCCAAGACTCGTTAAGGCAATTCCATAGGGCAGCAAGGCTGGTTGGATGCAAATCCTTCACGCGGCATTTAAGCTCGTCCCACAACAGCTCTATTGGATTAAGATCCGGCGATTGTGCAGGCCACTCAAAAAACCACTTCTGCGAGCAGTAAATAAACAAAAGAGATTGCAATTTGTCAAAACCCACTTAAATTGGACCATCAATCAATGGAAATCAGTTTTATGGACGGATGAGTCAAAATTCGAACTTTTCGGAAGTCATCGACGTAGGAAGGGTAATGAAAGACTCAATTCTAAGTGTATTTCGACAAAGGTGCAGCACGGTGGTGGTTCAGTGATGGCTTGGGGTTGTTTTGGATTCAATGGAGTCGGATCGCTTGTTAAAACACATGGAGCTTTAAAGAAAGAACAGTATCATAGCATACTTGAGCGCCACGCCATTCCATCTGGTTTCAATTTAATTGGTCCAAAATTTATTTTTCAAAAAGATAATGACCCTAAACACACTTCCCGACTCTGTGCCAATTATTTGAAGCGAAAAAAATACTTCAAATAATGAATCTTAATCCAATAGAACTGTAGTGCATTTGTCTGACTGATTTGCTTCCAAGCAGCCTCCCTGCCTTGTGGAATTGCCTTAACGAGTCCTGGAAGAACATACCTGCGCAAACATTGCAAAAACTCGTCGAAAGATTACCAAAAATATGCGCTGCAGTGATCAAAACAAAGGGTGGTCATATTCAGGAAAATCGACTGCAGTGACATTTTAACATTTTCATTACTAATTAGTCCGTCATTTCTCACAAATTGGTTACAAATCAGTCACTAAATATTAATACTACGTAGAGTGTACAAAACCAACTTGAATAAAATTATTTTTATATGAAAAATATAGCTAAAAACTCAGAAAATGAGATTATATATATATATATATATATATATATATATATATATATCTACATATATATAAAAATAAGTCGGGTTTTTCTTCCTGACGATTTAACTCCAGAACGAACGAACCGATTTCGACAATTTTGCATTCTTTGGAAAGGTCTCGGTCTCCGCAAGGTTTATAGATAAGAAAATTAGTGGTGCATGGCATCGTGCCTTAATGCAAATTGCTGGAACTTTACGCACCGTAATTAAAAATTCGGGTAATGACATTAGTGAGAATTTTCAGAATTTTGCTTGGTTAAGTCTACGAGCAATTCTTGCCGCCAAGAAATATGATGTACACGCACTGAATTTCAACATTCATACAAAAATTGCTGGCGATTTGGTGACATACCAATGATTCTGACTGGTCTTCCGTTTGACTTCAAACGATTGCAATTTTCAGTTTGCCTTGCGTTCGCAATGGCAATTAACAAGTCGCAAGGTCAATTGCTTAGTGTTTGCGGGTTAAATTTCAAATAGATTATTTAGAAAATCATTGTTTTTCACATGGGCAGTTATACGTTGCCTGTGCACGAGTTGGAAAA